GGGCTGCGGGGCAGCACCCTCCCCGCCGCCCGCGCAGGAGCCCAGCTCTCCAGTTTGCTCCCCAGTTCCTATCCAGATGGCGGCGTGGCCGTCGGTCCCCCGTCCCTGAGAGACCTCGGGGGGCCAACAGGCTCCGTGAGAATGATTGACTGATACGGCCTCGAGGCCACCGGGCACACTGGCTGACTCCTGGACGCACCCGGCGCCTAGCGGGACCCCATCCGCACATCTGCCGCCGCACGTGACCACCTGGGTCATCCCTGTCACGGCCGACTCATGTGCCCCAAAACGGTGAGGCAGTCCTGGCCCCGGGGACCTGGGGCCTCGTTTAAAACCAGGGAAATCAAAGCGAGTTCACTGCATAATCCAGTGACCGGTGTCCTTACAAACGGGAAGCGAGGACACAGAGGGAGGGCAGCGTGCAGACCAGGGAGAAGACGGCCGGCCGGCCACAAGCCGCCGAAGCCGCCAGGGCTGGGAGACAGGCCTGGGACAGCCTCGTCCTCTCGGCCTCCGAGGGAACCAGGCTGCCACCGTGAACTGGGACTTGTGGCTGCAGAACTGGAGGTGATCAGTGTCTGTGGTCTAACCGCTCTGCTTGGGATAATCCATCACAGCGGTCCCAGGACACTGACACAGGCACGCGCCCATCCTCCGGATGGGGACACTGAGGCCCAGCCTGCTGGAGTAACACAGCTGGGAACTGGCAGGCCTGGGCCCCCACCGGGGCTGCCCAACTCCACCAGCAGGTGCCCTGTACACGGCCCCGCGCCCACGCGCTCTGAGCTGGCCGGACTCGGAAGAGGGGTGGGAGGCTCCCCAGAGCACCCCACTGACTCCCTCCCCAGGTTCCACCACAGGGAATGCTGGGGCCCCGCCCTGGGCTGAGACAGGGGACAGCCAGCCCCTCCATCCATCAGGCGCCTGTCAGAGGCACGGAACCCCATGTTTAAAAGCAGAGAGTGAGCGCTGAGCTGGGCAAGGCCCATACATCCCAGGCAGCAGCAGAAGCCAGCTGCGGGGCATCAGCGGCCTGTGGCGAACGGCACTTTCACAGCGGGTCTGTTCAGGGAGAGCATAGCTTTAATAGGTGGGTGTGGGCAGGCCTGCCACCCACAAATGGTGAGAAAAATACTGGCCTGGGAAAGCAGTATCTACTCTCTTGTCTCATAACCTGACTGCATTTTAATTTCACCCATCACGCCTTCGGAACAGTCACCGCAAGGCGGTTATTAATGACGCGACAAGGTCCTTTCCCCTGGGAGCTGGCCTCATCGGAGCTGGTGACGGCGATGAAGGCGATGGATACACTGGTGTGGTCCCTGCCACACAACAGCCAGCATTCAAAGTGCCGGGACCTCCTGGAGGGCAGATCCCGGCTTCAAACCAGAA